CCTGGTCTACAGAGTTAAGTTCCTGGTCAGCCAAGACTACACAGAGAAACCCTGTCTCGGAAAAACAAAACAAAACAAAACAAAAAATCAAAGATCAATGTTCTCCAACTGGGACCAAGAAGAAATGTTATGAACATACAAAATTAGCCTAAAATTAAGCACAGTTCAGAAAGATCAAAAATCCTCTATGTTTTTTATATATTAATAACCCCCAAGGATAAAGGAAATTTAACCTCATATTCTAGTCACAATTCTGAAATGTGCCTGCACGCATCCAAGAACCAAAAGGGTCACAGTAGAATACAGGAGTTTGAGAGAACTACCAGAAAAGGACCTAGAGCCTCCCCCTTCCCACACACTAGAATCCAGGAAATACTGAGGCTGCAGAAACCAATAGCTCCCATTTGCCCCTCTATGAAGCACCAAATGGAGCCTGCTATGGCCAGAGGATCTGAGAAATTCACTGTTCAGCTCAGCACAGCTGTGCCAGCCAGGTCACTCCATAATTAGTATTCTCGAGCTTGGTCAGAGATACTTCTTTTTGCAGTGGGCAGGAGTCAGCACAGGGACTCATGAGTAACTGAGCTGAGAATGACTGTTAACTGCTCAGCTCTAAACAAGACGTCTGTATCAAGTAAGAGCTGAAGGATGGGGCTGGACAGACATGGTTCAGGGGTTAAGAGCATTGGCTGCTTTTTTTAGAGGACCCCAGGTTCAATTCCAAGCACCTACTATGTGGCTTACAACTATCTGTAACTCCAGCTCCAAGGGATCTGATTTCCCCTTTTGGCCTCTACAGACACTGTATGCATTGGTGTGCAGACATATATGCAGGCAAACAATCACACACGAGAGAGAGAGAGAGAGAGAGAGAGAGAGAGAGAGAGAGAGAGAGAGAGAGAGAGAGAGAGAGAGAGAGAGAGAGAGAGAACTGGAGGACTGATGGGGGAATGTCCTTCTGTATATATGTTTCTCCTATTGGTTGATGAATAAAATACTGATTGGCCAGCAGCCAGGCAGGCAGAACAGGCAGGGCTACCAGATGAGGAGAATTCCTCGGAGAGGACAGAGAGAGGAGCAGACATAGAGACTCCTTGTACCTGCCAAAGGAGTAACATGCTGGAGCATTCTCCAGTAAACCAAAACCACATGAAGACACACAGATTAATAGAAATGGGTTAACAATTAAGAGAGAGCTAGTCAATAAGAAACCTGAGTCATTGGTCAGCTTATAATTAATCTAAGCCTCTCTATATTTATTTGGGATTAAAGGGCTGAGGGACCTAGGTGGAACAGAAACTCATCTACAAAGGATGGCACCCAATGCTATAATGCTGTCTTTTGAACATGACATGGCTGTTGCACTCATGGACTCATAGCACCTGTGGTCACCTACAAAGATCAATGCAGTCAAAGTTACCCTGTGGATGGAGGAGACACTCCTAAGACTCCAACCCTGGTTGAGGCCATACTGGCAAGTAATGGCTGCTGGGGGACGGCAGTGATTTGAGGTTGTGAATGGGGAGATCAGTGCTGTGAGGGCCCAGGGGAGAGGGAGCTGGGAATGTAGTAGAGTTCTGACACAGACTGTCTCAGAAATAAACAAAATGGAGCCGGGCGGTGGTGGCGCACGCCTTTAATCCCAGCACTCGGGAGGCAGAGGCAGGCGGATCTCTGTGAGTTCGAGGCCAGCCTGGTCTACAAGAGCTAGTTCCAGGACAGCCTCCAAAGCCACAGAGAAACCCTGTCTTGAAAAACAAAAAAAACAAAAAAAAAAGAAATAAACAAAATGGTGAACCCCACCTAAGCAATGACACCCAAGGTTACTCTCCTGCCTCCACACACATGGGCACATGTGCACAGGCACCCACACATGCACAAGCACACACAAAGATGTGCTATTGGGGCTAGGAGTGCAGCTAAATAGTTATGTACCTGTCCTAGAACGCCCTAGGTTTGATTCTTAGCACCACAAGAAAAAAAAAGTACCATTTTAATGAAATATTTTGGAATATATGAAAGGTCTAACACATTGTCAGCAGTATACAAGGCAGAGTCCTGATGTCCTACTCTACAATGACAAAGAACTCTAACTTACCCTTATACAACATAGCTTTGAGTAAATAACCATTCCTGAGACTATAAAAGCCACTACAGAGACTAACCAACCCCCAAACCTTCATATAAGGACTAAACCCATTCAATTACTTAAAAATTAACAGAAGGTAAAATGATTAGCAAGGCATGGTGGCTCAGTACTCCAGAGGCTGAGGCAGGAGGATTGCTACAAGTTTCAAGCCTGTCTGAGCTACAGAGTAAGCTTCTATCTCAAGAAAATAACAAAACAAAAAGGAAAGATTATTTAAAACATGTTTGACAGGGACCAGGTTTGATACACGAGGGATGATTTCTGAGAAAGGTCTGAGCAAAGAAATGGAACAAGTTGGATGTTTATCAAAGAGTAGGAGGATCAAATCCAAGAGTCCTAGAATATAACCCTGTCTACAGCATTGCCTAAATATCCACCAACAGACTTCACCTTGGATGCCCTGTAAAATCTTCCTGACTTGGAGCCTGGCCATTCTCTGAGGCCCCTAACTCTAAATCCTGTATCACACTGGGCTTATTCTTTCTGCCTCAACTAGAACACCTCCACTAATGCTTCACCAGCCCAGAATTACAGAACACAAGGACTGGAATGGTTCTTAGATATTTCTTAGGTTAATGTAACTCCATCTTACTGAATCCCTTGGTAATCAAGTCTCCAAGGTATCAGGACACACGACTATAATTCAACGCACTTGAATTTCTTCATATGCTCCTCCCAACCATTTATGCACACTGCCCTTATCCTGTATTTATCTCCTAAGCTAGAAGAATCTATGATGCCACCATACTGAAGTCTCTTCACTGCCCTACATGCACTCTTCAACCACTCTGAAGTCTTCTGTGTTCCTTCCTAGTACATGCCTTTCTGTTTTTCCTTTCTTTCTTTCTCTTTCTTTTCCATTTTTTTGAGACAGGGTTTCTCTGTAACATGTTTCTATATTTTAACCTTCACTTTATTTTATTTTGCTTTTTTGAGACAAGGTCTCACTATGTAGTTCTGGCTGGCCTGAAACTTCCTATGTATACCAGCTGGCCTCCAACCTCCAGCAGTTCACTTGCTTCAACCTGCCAAGAGCAAAGATTACAATGTATGCCACCTTGCCCAACTTCAAGCTCTTCTTTTTGAAAATTTTTATTTACTTACCCATTTGTTCTTTTTGAATTTATGTGTGCATGTGTGTGTATGAGTGCATGAGTCTGTACAGACATGCATGAGGAGGGCAGAGGTCAACGCCAGGCACCCTCCTCAGTCACTCTCTACCTTCTGTCTTAAGGCAGGGTGGTTTCTCACTGAACTCAGCACTCACAGGCTGACTACACTTCCTGGTCAGCGAGCTCTGGGGATCCTCCAGCCTTACAGCCCCCTGCCCTAGGCTCTCACACTTGTGTGGCAGACACTTTGCTGACTGAACTGCCTCCCCAGCCTTGGCCTTCTTTAGAGACTTTCCAGGCCCTTCACTGGTTTCTTCCTTCTCAAGAATTGTACAGCACCGAATAGTCTATCATGAAATCCAGCACTTAGTAGTGTATTCTCCTGAATCTGCCCACCTGCCAATGCTCTGTAAATAGTTCTGTTCACTTATTAGCTCTGCCTTGTGCCATGTTTACCCAGACTAAAATTCCCCAATATAAGGAGTATGTTCTTATCTGCACACACAGAAAATAACAGCCGCCATATTTTTCACTATTATCATATTTTTAACACTTGTCATAAGTTGTATTAAGTGCTTCACAAACTGTACTTCATTTAATCATAAATATTGATATTCTTCCTATTTTACAAAAGAAGGAGCAAAGGCATTTTTGTTCAAGCCAACCTGATGTTGGGAAAAATAAGGTTGAGATTCAAGCTGAATTTTATCCCCGGATACACAAAGCAGGCTGCAAACAATATGAGTTGCATTATCCTACCATTTTGTATATGCTGGTCGCATCATTCACAAATGAAAAAACAATGAGGGTAGAAATCATGCCAGGAGCCTTAGGAGGCAGACTGGGGTAAAGACTACCCTATTTGAGTAGTGCCCATCCGTTTAGGTTCAGTGACTGATTGTGTCTTTGAACATGCTTAACAGCCTTTGTAACCCTTCTCACATTCACCCAAAATGTCACCTACTCTCTAGCACAAATGCTCCCACACAAGATGAATACTACATCCCTTCTGCACGTCCTATCTCAAAGAGGACAAGAGGATTAAAACAAACAAACAAACAAACAAAAACCCTTGGCTACAGCCAACATTTACCACAATTGTTGACTTTCTTCAGAGCTGGCCACCCTGCTCTCCAGTGTAACACTCAGACGTCTCGATTATGAATCACTTCAGCCTTGTGACTGAGGCAAATGACATTTCCTCCACTTTACAAATAAAACAATGTTTAAATAAAGAACACGTGTTAATCTGAAGTCACGAGACCAATGGCTGCCTCCTACTGCAATCCGGGTCATCTGACTCTTCTGCTGCCCAGGAAGCCACTCACAGGTGGCATCTGATTTATCTTAGTCTCACTGAGCTAGAATTAAAATTATGGCAAAAGTTCTGGAATAATTTTCATTTGTTGAAATTCACCGGATATGTGTTAACCTTATACGTTCAAATACCTCTCCTCAGCTTATTGCAATGTCCCACGCACAAGGTCGCTTCACCTTCCCAAGCCCCAACATTTTTATCCATAAACAAAACTATTGGTGATATCTATGAAACAGTAACGGCCTGAGAAGTGATCACAAGGTACAGGCGACACTGTCTGCCGTCGGATAGGTGTCTAGCAGGTATGGGTACCTTTCACCTGCACCCCCAAAAGCCTCTGGGTTCATCCATTGCAGCCACGCGACAGGCCCGCACTCGACCTCCAGGGTTCCCAGGCCCTGGGCCAAACACGCTGCCATACCTGCATGGAGTCGGCGCTGACGATCTCGCCGCCGAGCCGCTGGCCTAGCTGCAGAGCCAGGCTGGACTTGCCAGTGCCAGTGGCCCCGAGAATCACTACAAGTGGCAGTGTTCTCTGCAAGCCCCGGAATCCAGAGCTCACAGGAACCGCTCGTGCAGCCGCAGCCGCCGCCATCTTGAAGAGAACTGCGCATGCGCCGAAGCAGCTGTCGCCATGGCAACAGTCAGTGCGCCGGCGCGGATCTCCGGCTCTGAAGGGAGGGTGCAAAAGAGGAGGAAACTGCGGGACAAAGGTACCAAGCTTGGGAGGCTTATGACGTAACTGCCTTCGGCTAGCTGGGATCAACTCACAAACTGGCTTTCTTAAATGACAGATGGCAAACCATCTGAAATATTTCTGTCTACATTGCGCCCAGGCACCCAATTTGTCTTCTTCATGGCATTAGCTCCAGTATAAAACTGCTTAACTGGCCTCGGGTTCATTGTCCGGGGGGCTACTACAGGCTGTTAGTTTCACAAAAGACAAGGGGCAAATCTGACTAGGTTATTGTTGTATCTTCTGTGCCTAGCACAGACAACCAATAATGATTAAATAGACATAAGAAAAAGACTTGCCCACCTATATGAGAGCTAGTAAGTTTAGAGACTGGCATTCTTCAAAGTCAGATCCCTCCAGTTCTCAGGCAAGGGCATGGCTCTAATGTTTTAATGCCATAGACATTCAGACACAATCAGAAAGCAGGACAAAGCCGGGCGTTGGTGGCGCACGCCTTTAATCCCAGCACTCGGGAGGCAGAGGCAGGGGCAGGCGGATCTCTGAGTTCAAGGCCAGCCTGGTCTACAGAGCGAGTTCCAGGACAGCCTCCAAAAGCCACAGAGAAACCCTGTCTTGAAAAACCAAAAAAAAAAAAAAAAAAAAAGAAAGCAGGACAAAACTCTCCATCGGTACAGCAAAGCCGTCAAGAGATAGGCTAAGAACAAAAGAACAAGCAAGTGAACAACAACTACAAAATTAGAAGAGGAAGTAGGGGAAAAACAGGAGGGATAAAGCAGATTTTCAAGTGATGAAAAATTAGAGCGAAAGATGACCAAAATTCAAAAGATGTCACACACCCCTTTAAGAAACAGCTTTAGAGCTGGGCATTGGTGGAGCACGCCTTTAATTCCAGCACTCGGGAGGCAGAGACAGGCGGATCTCTGTGAGTTCGAGACCAGCCTGGACTACAGAGTGAGTTCCAGGACAGCCTCCAAAACAATACAGAGAAACCCTGTCTCGAAAAAACAAACAAAAAAAAAACAAAAAAAAAAACAAAAAAAAAAAAACGAAAGAAAGAAACAGCTTTAAGGGAGATGGTCTAACAAAAGTGCCTGCTGCCAAATCGGATGACCTGAGTTCAATCCCCAGGATCCACATGGTGGAAGGAGATGACCTCTGTGTACATACACAGGCAGACAGACGCATACAATGGATTTTAAAATTAACTCAGAATGCCTGTGGAATCAGGGGAACCTGCATTCCAGTCCCATCTCTCAGACTTATCAGCTGTGTGATCTTCATCAGCATCACTTTCCCTCTTCGTCTGGACATTGAACCCCCCTGGATGCTCAACAGGCACTCTAGCACACGCAGAACCCCAGTCCCTTACTTCACCTCCTAACCTCAGCGATTTTCTCTTTCAATTGATTCCCCTGAGGATTGCCATAAGGAAAATGTGAAATGGTGTCTGGAAAGTGCTTGCTTGCTACAAATGCCCTGGCACATAACAACTGCCATTTGTTGAACAGTTTGTATTATTCCAATTGTACAACCCATCTGCCTCCCTAAATAAGTAAGAGCAAAAGCCTAAGGGTAGAGAATTCTTCAGTAATGTGTAAATACCCCTTCTGCCAACCCCTGTCTAATTAGGCAGTTTCAGGGGTCCGAGGGTACAGGTTAATGGCAGAGCATTGCCTAGAAAGCATGAGGCTCTGGGTTCAGTCAGCACTTGGAATGAGGAGGGAGACATAAATGTTTTTCTTCTGAGGCTGCCTCTGTCTAGCTCCCAGGTAAAGTCAGAATTCCTTGTGTCGAAGTGGTGTTGTCCCCCTCTCCAGAAGTCCAGAACATATGACTGGCCTGCCTAGAATAACTGCCATTATATTTTTCAATCACTTGAATCTCCTTAGGCAAAATGGTCACTCTTGTCACCCAAGCTAAACCATGTAGCTACATATATTGTTTGGGAGAACTCCCATTTCTAGTTCTTGGTCGCTAGTACCTCCTTTATTCAACCCAGGCATTTTTGATGAAAAGCCTGTTCTCTCTAATTTGTGGTACCCACCTGGGGCTAAGTTTAAAATGCAGATGTGTGGCCACATATTGGCAGACACTCTCACATGATGGTTGTTAACTGTAGAGCCTTTGCCTGGAGACTTTCAGAGGGTATGGTTACCATGACAACCACCAGAAAGATGGCAGGCCAGAGGAATGATGCACATAAAGAGAAAGGGGAAGCCTGATTTCATGATGACAGTCTGACGGTGACAGTCTATGCTCACTCACAGACGAGGCTAGCACTGTCCAAGTCATGACCAGATAGGTGACTGTTACTAGAAAAAGAGGAAAACAGGAGGGTGGAATTTACCACCAAGAGACCAGAAGAGGAAGAGGCTGGTTACCAAGGCAACTGGAGAGAAAGGAATGAAAAAAATAGGGCTTCACCACAGCAGCAGAAAATTGCTTCTAGCCAAGCAACACAGGGCTGTTGCTATAGAAACAAGGAGACCAGGGATCCTGTAGACCTTGGGGAGAATTATCACTGAAATGCTGAGCAGCAAAGGCTCCTAAATCAGAAAGGAGCCCGTGGTCCAAAACAAACGAGGAGAAGTGAGAAAAAGCACGGCGCCATTTCCATTCATTGCATTTCTACTGGTCCTACCAAAAGAAAATAAGGGTATTAGCACCCCCCTTTTCTTTATTTGTAATTTTACTGTAGTGATCTTCTGAACTTTGAATTATACTAAAAACAGTTCCTGAAAGATATCCTGTAATTGGAAATTCTAATCAGAGGCATTGTGTTCAAGGGGGAACTAGGAAACGGAAGTCTATGACCAGGAGTTGATAAGTGCTTCTGAGACGATGACAACAACATAAAGCCTTCCAACGGGAAGAATTGCAGGGCAATAAGGAAATCAAAGAAGGCACACGGGGAGTCGGAGAGCTGTTTGTACTCATGCCCAGGTATTGAACTTGACCCTTCTCTTCCATGAGACCAGGTGGGAAGAAACTCTCTCTGTTCTTCAAGGAGGCTCAAGAGAAAAGAGTATGCATGTCACCTAAAGTGTACGTTCATACCCAGGAAGAAAGGTTGCTGCAGAAGCCACCTCTAACATGCTTCATGTGTCATGATCAGACTGTTGTGAACAAAGAAATCCTAGAGGGGTTTGCTTGCTTGTTTGCTTGCTTGCTTGGTGCTGGAGAACAAACCCACTGGGTTCGTGTTTTCTAAGAAGGCACTCTACCACCAGACTAAAAAACCCTCAGCCAAGAAATCCTATTTCTGTTTGCTTTTTTCAGAAGCAGATTCTCCCTATCTAGCCCAGGATGACCCTCCACCATCCTCCTACCCTTGCCTCCCAAGCACTCGCATTAGAAGCATGAGCACTATGGCAGGCTTTCAAAAATCTTAGTTTTAAATTGACAGTGGTGGCATGTACCTATAATCCCAGTGCTTGGATGTCTGAGACAGGAGAATTGTCACCAGTTTGAGGCCAGCCTGGACTACATAGCAAGTACCAAACCAGCGAGGCCTGCCTAGTCTGTGCACTCATCTTTACTCTTCCCCATAAAAGAAGTCTGAGTTTTAATGGCAAAAATACCAAGACAGGTTGAGTTTGGAAGTATATGTTAGAAACATGGGAATTAGGTTCTAGGGGTTGGAGAGATGGCTCAGGGGTTAAGAGCATTGGCTGCTCTTCCAGAGGACCTGGGTTCAATTCCCAGGGCCCACATGGCAGCTCACAACTGTCTGTAATTCCAGTTCCAGGGGATCCAACAGACATATATGCATGCAGGCAAAACACCAATTCACAAAAAAAAATCATAAAAAAAATTTAAAAAGAATCAGGTTCGGGGGCTGGAGAGATGGCTCAGAGGTTAAGAGCACTGACTGCTCTTCCAGGGGTCTTGAGTTCAATTCCCAGCAACCACATGGTGGCTCACAACCATCTACAATTCAATCTGATGTATATGTAATAAATAAATCTTAAAAAAAAAAGAATCAGGTTCTAGGAACAGTCAGGCTACTTGGAGGGCAGTGATTCCTTCCTATTCTTCTGAAATACCAAGAATAGTCACCTAATTTTTACAGTGTGTATGTGTTTCCCTGGGGGAAGGTATATAATTAGGCTGGATCTCTCTGTACCATTCTTACCTTCTTAAAAAAAAAAGTAGTATACAGGGTGGGGTGGGCATGGGAAATGACAGAAAGAAGAGATAGAGGTATAGGAGGGAAAGCAGGGAATCTAGATGATCTCATGAGTGTTCGTTGTATTGTCTCCAGTTCTCTTATAGTTTAGGTGTGTGTGTGTGTTGCGTGTACACATATATGTGTTCACGTGTACAAGAATGTGTGTGGAGGCCAGAGGTTGACATCAAGAGTCCTCCTTAGTTACTCTCCAGCTTATTTTTTGATACAGTCTCTCATTGAACTTGAGGCTTACCAGTTTGGTAAGGCTTACCAGCAAGTCCCAGGAATCTGCCTGTCTCTGTTGGGATTACAAGTGCATGCCATCATGCTCAGCTAGTTAAGTGTATGCTGGAAATCTGAATTCAGGTCCTCATGCTTGCACAGCAAACACTTTCCTGACCTAACTATCTCTCCAGCCCCTGCAAATCGGTTTGTTTTTAATTTGGGGGGGGGGGAGGCAAAAGGAGAAGCCAATAGAGCAGAGGGGCCTTTGTATCTTTGTGAGTTTCAAGCTTGTGTCTTCCATTGAAATTCTTTTCATGGTTTTGTGTGTGTGTGTGTGTGTGTGTGTGTGTGTGTGTGTGTGTGGCAGAGGACAACTTGCTGGAAGAGTTTGTTCTCTCCTTCCACCTTGTGAGTCCAAGGGATGGAACTCAGGTCATCAGGTCAGGCGGCAAGCATCTTTACTGCCTAAACCACCTCACTAGTGAGATCTTTTTTTGGATTTTCGTTTGTCTTTTGAGACTTGATCTTGCTATGTAGCTCTAACTAGTCTCAAACTCATAGCAACCCTACTGTCTCATCCTGCCATATGCTCAGTCAATTTTTTTTTTTTTTTTGGTTTTTCGAGACAGGGTTTCTCTGTGGCTTTGGAGGCTGTCCTGGAACTCACTTGGTAGTCCAGGCTGGTCTCGAACTCACAGTCAAATTCTTTCTAAGACTGTATTTCCAGTTTTCTGTTGGGAGCTTCACTTTAGATGACCCCATCATCTCAGTCTTATTGTGCTCCAAACCACAGTGAGTTTTCAGTTTCTTTCCTTGACTTATCCATCTCTGTGAGTGTGTGTGTGTGTGTGTCCATTGCTTAGGACATAGGTGTGTGTGTGTGTGTGTGTGTGTGTGTGTGTCCATTGCTTAGGACATAGCTCTCTCTCTGTCTCTCTGTATCTGTGTGTGTGTGTGTGTGTGTTTGGTGTGTGTGTGGGGGGGGGTGTCCATTGCTTAGGACATAGCTGTGTGTGTGTGTGTGTGTGTGTGTGTGTGTTTCCATTGCTTAGGACAGAGGTGTGTGTATGCATTGCTTAGGACTGAGGTCTGTGTATGAGTGTATCTGTGTCTGTTGCTTAGGATAGAGGTCTGTATGTGTGGCCTTTGCTTAGGACAGAGGTCTGTGTGTGTCCTTGCTTAGGACTGAAGTCTGGGTGTGAGTGTGTGTGTGTGTGTGTGTGTGTCCATTGCATAGGACAAAGCTGAGAACTTTGTGCATGCTAGGCAAATGGTCTTACTAGCTCTGATTCCCTTTCAAAGAATCTCAAGAGGATGCTTGCAGCTGACAGGATTCCTTCAGAAACCTCCTGTGACTTCTAATTTGTGAAAATGGGAGTGCTTACCTGGTAAATCAGATCAGATTGCTCCCCTCTACCAAGATCTGACACAGATTTACCAATTTGTTCTCTTGAAGTTATTCCCTGATCCCAGAACATCTTCATCTACAAGTATAGTTAAATACACTACCTGCACAAGGACTTTATTGACAAGATAACCATTGACACTCTCTTCTCTTTCAGAGTCTGCAGCCCTGGTCTGTGACCCTGTGACCCAGGCTCCTGAACAGTGTGGCTGTTAACTTGACATCTGAGAGGAAGGAACCTCAAAATTGAGAAAATGCTGCCATAAGATTGATCTGTAGCCGGGCGATGGTGGCACACGCCTTTAATCCCAGCACTCGGGAGGCAGAGGTAGGCGGATCTCTGTGAGTTTGAGGCTGGGCTGGACCGATAGCCTCCAAAACAATACAGAGAAACCCTGTCTCGTAAAAACCAAAAAAAAAAAAAAAAAAAGATTGATCTGTAGACAATCCTGTAGAGCATTTTCTTAGTGATTGATGGGGGAGGGCCAGGCCTCTGTGGTTAGTATTACCCTGGCTGGTGGTCCTGGGTTCTATAAGAAAGCAGACTGAGCAAGCCATGATGAGCAAGCCAGTAAGCAGCATCCTCCATGGCTTCTGCATCAGCTCCTGTATCCAGTTTCTTGCCTGGTTTGAGTTCCTGTCCTGACTTCCCTCAATGGTCTATGACTCCTGATATGTAAGGCAAACAAACTCTTTCTATTCCAAGTTGCTTTTGCTTTTACTACAGGGCAGATGATACTCCGTGAACCTGTACCAATGTTCTTCTAAGATTCACCTCAGGTCCACTAGCTTGCTTGCATGTTAGTATGTGCTGGCTAGTCTTGTGTCAACCTGTCACACAAACTAGAGGTATCTGAAGGGAGGGAGACTTAATCGAGAAAATGCCTCCATAAGATCAGGCATTTTCACCAGGAGTTGGTGGCGCACACCTTTAATCCCAGCACTCGGGAGGCAGAGGCAGGCGGAGCTCTGTGAGTTCGAGGCCAGCCTGGTCTACAGAGCTAGTTCCAGGACAGCCTCCAAAACAATACAGAGAAACCCTGTCTCAAAGAACAAAAACAAAACAAAACAAAAAAAGATCAGGCATTTTCAAAGTTATTGATGGAGGGGGGCCCAGCCCAGTGTGGTAGTTCAATCCCTGTGCTTATGGTCCTGGGTTCTGTAAGAAAGCAGGTCAAGCAAGCCATGGGAAACAAGCCAGTGAGCAGCACCCTCCATGGCCTCTGCATCAGCTCCTGCCCCAGGTCCCTGCCCTGCTTGACCTCTTTTCCTGACTTCTTCCAGTGATGAACAGTAATGGAGAAGCATCAGTCAAATAAAAACTTTTCTCCCCAGCTTGTTTTTTGGTCATGGTGTGTTGTTGCAGTAATAGAAATTCTAACTGTGACAAGAGACAAATTCCAGACCCTACCTCGACCTTCTGTGAGGTCTTGGAGGTGAGGAGAAACACAGAAGTTTGGGAACCATTTGCTTCAGCCAGGCCTGATAAGGCCTGCAATCCCAGCTTCTCAGGAGGGTAAGGCAGGGGAATGGCAAAAGACCTGGCCAGGCAACTTGGGTGGATCTATCTCAAAATAAAAGCACGTTGGGAGGCTGATGCAGGAAGATTATTGAAAATTCTGGGCCAATTTGGTCTAATAATAAGTTCTGGACTAGCCCAGACTACTGAACAAGACCTTGCCTCAGACAAATGAAAAGAGTCTAGACAGAATAACTGAAGGGGTCAGTTTGCTATGCCTGTCTAAAGGCACCACAATGTCCTATGAGGTATGATGGAGGTTTAAATCAGGTTTATAGACGTACAGCATCTGCCCACCATGGGCCCTAGATGCTGGGGCCAGTCAGAGTCTCCAGTCTTTGGTCTCGCCCTTTTCTGACTGCCTCGCTCTCCCAAAGCCTTGATGCTCCTTCTGTGGTGATTCACTGTCACATGAGTGTACCCATGTGGGCGCTACAGTCTAAGAACTCATTCATGAAAATTTATGTCAGGGGTGGTGCATGTTTGTGTGGGGGAAGGGAGCAGAGATATTTGACAATGTGTACAGACCAGAGGTCAGTTCCCCTCAGACACCATCTATCTTTTTCTTTTGACACAGGGTGTCTCTCTGGGACCTAGGGCTTGATAATAGGCTAGGCTGCCTAGCCACCTACCTGTCTCTATGCACCCCACCCCAGCACTGGGATTACAAACAGACTCCATAATGCATGTTTTTTTTGCTTTTAAATGGGCTCTAAAGATTGAACTCATATCCCCATGTATGTGGGATACATGCTTTACCAACTAAGCCGTTTCCCCATCCTTTGCTGGAAAGATTTCTCATTTTACAAATCCCTTCTGTCCATCACCTTTCAAGTATGACTAATCTGTTGTCTAACTGTGGCTTGTTAAAAAACATTTTATGTATACGGGTGTTTTACTTGAATGCAGTCTCAGCACGATGTGCGCGCATACCTGATGCCTTTGGAAGCCGGGAGATCTCCTGGGACTGGAGTTACTGACAGTTGTGAGCTGCCATGTGGGTGCTGGGACTGCAACCCAGGTCCTGTGGAAAAGCAGCCAGTGCTCTTAACTTCTTGAGTTATCTTTCCACCCCATTAAATTGGCTTGTTAATATAGATTCAGCAATACCAATCATTTACTGAATAGCTACCGTTGTTCACAACAACCCAATTAGGAAGGTGCTATTATTTTTACCTTTTTAAAATTTTAATAGTTGGGGAAATTGGAGCCAGGTGAGGTGAGTAACTTGCCAACATTCATATGGCTAGAAAATGCAGACCTAACCATTGGGTCTGAGTGACCCCTTAACTATTCTGTTTTCCTCAAGTTTAAAGGCCATCTAGTATTTGCCAGGCTCCCAGTAGACCCCTGGCTTTGAGCCTAATCGTTTAATAGCACACCTGATTAGAAACTTTAAGAACATATTTACATTTCCTTGCCAAGAGGATGGTAACTTTAATATAGTTGATCCCTTTGGCAGAGTAGTTCTAAATAAACAGACATTAACAAAAGGCCGCCCACTGAGTTTGCAGTAGCAATGTCCACCAGTAAGGGAACTGACACATTTAGATACGTTGCTTTCCCTGATAATCACTCAGTCATCAATGACCTCTGGCTATCTTATCCTTAGAAACACCTCCAGCACCCTGTCACCTTTCAGATCATTAAAGACATCCTGATCCCTTTCCCCCTCTAAAGCAAACATTCTGGAACACCCAGATCTCAGGTGCACCTTTGACCACTCAGATCAAATAAGATAGTCTAAGGCATTTCAGTTCCCCTATAACAGCCAACTGGAGCAGGAGTTACACATGTGTGCGTGGCATGTGCCTTAGTCTTGTATTGTCAAAAGAGGATGAACTGTTTACTATGCCGAGTGTAGCTTTTCCATGACCCCTTAATGTGTGCATGCCAAGATGGATGTGCAGTCCTTGAGGGTACACCTTTCAGAGGCAAACCTAATTTGTAGGAACCGCTCTCTGAAATCTAGGAATAAACTCTGAGTTATTCTCAGACAAAGACAGAGGTAGGAGTTTGCAGAAATGAGCTAATAAGGAGCTTAAAATACTTCACATTCCAGGCCCCGTCCCCCCTCCACCAGGAGACAGCTTTATTCCCGCCCCTTTCTCAGTCTGACTCAGGAGCTGAAACTTGGATAGATCCAGCTGGTATTGTGTGAGAGTTTAGATAATTTACTGCCTCGGAATTGTCCAATTTGCTCTTCTGTGAAATGGAGCCACCACTGTCCCCTCCTCTCTAGTTTACTGTAAAGATGAAGATCTGCAAAGAAGCTAGCATTGTCACCTTTCCCCTGGGTTCTTATTAGTCTAGGAATGCCCAGTGATTCTTTCAAGGTGTGTGTGTGTGTGGGGGGGTCATCCTACAAATCAGTCTTTTGACAAATGGCCTCAGAAGAGCATATACCTGGAATGTACCCTGGGATCCATTCCTAGCACCATCAAATACACCAAAACAAATAAAGAAGCAATTAGGAGTTTTTAAGAAACTCCATCTTTGTCAGGTATGAGAGCATATGCCAGTAATCCCAGCTTTCTAGAGGTGGAGGCAGATCAAGAGTTCAAGGTCATTCTTGACTACCCAGTGAATTCAAGACCAGCCTGAGCTATATGAGGTCCTATCACAAAATAACAACAATAACAAAAAGACAAGAAGGAAAAAAGAAAAGCAGGGAACACGTTTCAGTAATCCTGGGCTATTTCATAAACCATCCCAAGGCTTGGAGAGAGAGGTAAATGGCTCAGTGGTTAAGATGCTGGGTGCTCTTTATCCAGAGGACCGGTGTTCAGTTCCCAGCCCCACATGATTGCTCACAACTGTCTGTGACTCCAGTTCCAGGGTGTTCGAAGCCCTCTTCTCGCCTTTGTGGACTCAAACCTGCATGTGGTGCAGACATACATGCAGGCAAACACAAATAAGGATAATAAATGAATCTTTTAAGAATTGAGAGGAAAGCTTTCTGAAATGTCTTCTTAGGTTCTAGATGAGTGACAGAGAGGCAGTCACGTAGAAAGTTCACTTGACAAAAGGTCAGGTTTGCAAACTTTATTTGACTGTCTGACTTTGGGCAAGAAAGCACTGGGTCCCAGCGCAGTATGGCCGTGATTGTTACCATTGCTTGCTTACCGCCGAGATCTGAGGAGCTAGGAGCTTTTCTGTTAATTTTTGGTGCTGCCTGAGATTGAACTCAGGGTTTTGTACGTTTCAGGCAGGTGCTCTACTACTGAACTATGGCCCAAGCCCCAGGAGAAGCTTCTAGAAGCTGCTTGACCCTATCCTGGCTCCGCAGGCATCCAGGCATCAGGCAGACAATGCCCCAACTGTAAGGTAGGATTAGTGGAGACCCAAGCAGCCTTCTCTCACCATGATGTTCGTGGCATTTTAAACAGCAACTGTTTTCTTTTCCCAGAGGGCATCTTTGGAGTAAAATTACCCAACCCAGTCCACAGATGCTGTGGTATAGCTGGCTCATCATGGAACATTTGCTGCACTTCCTTCCAGAAAGGGCCAGGCACATTGGCTCCAAACAGGCAGTTCCAAAAAGCAACTTAATGGTGGAATTCCTGACGGCTTCTCAGCACATCCCATTTTAATCAAACAAGCTGATCATATTCATGCAATGGTAAAGATCTCTGATTCTAGGGATAGGCTGAACACCACTCAAACCCTAATGTACTTACTCCTTTACTAGCTGGTTCTAGGGATAGGCTGAACTCACGCAAACCCTAATGTACTTACTCCTTTACTAGCTGGTTCTAGGGATAGGCTGAACTCACTCAAACCCTAATGTACTTACTCCTTTACTAGCTGGTTCTAGGGATAGGCTGAACTCCACTCAAACCCTAATATACTTACTCCTTTACTAGCTGGCTGATTTTGCTTAGCTGTTTCCTTGTAGAACCTCATCATCTTCATTTGTAGCCCTAGCAAAATGGGGTTGGCTTAATACGCTGTGAGGCAATGAGCAGTGCCCCAGGAGGAAGGACCATTGACAAATTCTCTCACCTTTCATTTACATCAAATTAATGGGAGAGCTCCGGAGAGCCTTAATTTTCCTTTCATTAACTGAATGTGAGAAAAACAAAAACAAAAAATCATTACAGCAGAAATTCTCAGAGAATTGTTTTAAAAACCATCCTACAGCTGGGCGGTGGTGGTGCACACCCTTGATCCCAGAACTCAGGAGGCAGAGGCAGGCAGATCTCTGAGTTTGAGGCCAGCCTGGTCTACATAGATTTAATAAGACTATATAATAAGACCTGGTCTCAAAAGACCAAAAACAAGCTGGGCATGATGACTCATGCCTTTAATCTCAGCACATGGAAGGAAGAGGCAGGCAGATATCTGAAAATTCCAGCCAACCTGGTCTACATAGTGAGTTCTAGGACTGCTAGGATTATGTAGAGAGACAGACCCTATCTCAGAATAAAATAAAATAACAACCCTTGCAGGCAAAAGAGATGAAAACCAAATAAAACAAGAACTTTATGAGAACAGCCCCCATATTAAAGCTGTATAACTTAGAATTCTAACAGTTCAAAATCTACAACTTCACTTGAAACCTGCAAAAAACCCAGTGAAATATTTCCACTCATCTCACAGATAAGACATCACCAAATTCAGAAATGCAAAAATAAAAGGCCACAGAAGTGGCAGAGCTGGGATTTCAAGCCTTGTAGTACAATTCAGCACTCTGCAATTCACAAGAGAATTTTGTTTTCACTGAGCCCTGAGCCGACAGGACATTGTTTAGACATGTCTGGAAGGGCATTCAGGGACCCAGAGTGGAATGACCAGGTTAGCAACATGGTAGAAAAATGCAGACACCCAGATTGCTTGTGGCTACTCTGAAATAGTTTTCTCTGGTTCAGGAGGACTCAGATGGCATATGCTACCTCCACTCCGACATTTTTGAGAAATCTTTTATTAGAAGATGTCCCAGAAGGCAACAGTTTAAAATCAAGCAATTAATGATTACAACTAAATACAAACTTCCAGGTAAACTTGCCTTTCAAAATAAACCAAACCCTTGCAACAGGAGGTTTTTTTGTTTTTGCTTTTTTCTTGTACAAAAACAGTTAACGCCACTTTGCAAAAAGCATACAAAAATACAGTATAAAAAAAAAGACTCCCGCAGCACATAACCCAACAGCAGCTTATAAAACACAAGTCATTCAGATGAGTCTTCAGGAGCCTGCTCCCCACTTGTCTGCCCAACATAGTCCCAGGAGTCCCTCGGTGCCTCAAAGTCCTGCCCCAGCAGGCAGAACAGCTACTTCCAACGCTTCTTCTAGGACTCTCTGAGGCCAGGAAGCAAGGTGAGGCCATCATGGTCAGCAAATTTGGAAGTGGTAGTTGGTTTTTGAGAGCCACAGGTAGCATTTACTATCTGTTTGTTCTCCACACTGTTTCCCTACTTCCAAACCCAGGGCCAGCAGGAAGGAATCTGCCTTCCTGGGCAGAGTTCTGAGAAGGTTGACTCTTCTTTCAGGCAAAGCTTAGGATCGCCCGAGGATGCCCATGGGACCACTGCTAGCTTGGGTGACTTTTCCTATTGAGGACCATACTTAGATTCCATCTGGTGCTGCAGAACGCAGCTGGAGCAAAACCTATGGTAGCTGGCTGAGCAGTGCTCCTAGAGGCACCTTAACAACCCATGGGGAAGTGAGTGTACCTTCTGGGGCACCCGATGAATCCAAGCAGCACTCCTCAGAGTGCCTATAAGGCCCAGATTCCAGGGAAAGGGCCAGGATGATGGCTGCAGAGCCAGCAAACTCCTTGAAGTTGCTTGAGAAGGATAGGGTTGCACTGTTCCAGCAGAATTTAGACAAAAGTCAAGGACTGACTCGAGAGGCAGTTGGAAAAGAGGAAGTGGTTAGGCACTTCCTTCTGAGGTGCCTTATATCTGCCTTGAGAGAAGGTTCTAAGCTGGGCTTCAAATGGCCCTGCAAGAAAACACCCAAGGCTTGGCCAGGATGCTAAGCCTTCCCCATGACCCATTTTCCTACATCCTGGAGAAATAGTTCTGATCTGTATAGAAGAGTGCTGTGGTGCCCATTGCATAACAAAGGCAGAAAGAAACAAAAAAGTCCCTTGTGAGGATAGACAGGTCTCTCTCTGAGAAGGCCCAGAGAGCTCTGAGACAAAGACTCTACAGGCCAAGCCCTTTAAATGTTTTCAAAGTCATAGCAATGAGAGTGGAGGGAGGGTTGTGGCCTGATATCCTAATATATCCTAAAGGTTTCCACTTCTCAGCTACTGTAAAGTGTCTGACAGTGAGGTAATGGTCCATGCTGATCAAGTCTGCGAGCTTGTCTTCACCTAGAACAGCTCGCTTGTCTCCTGGAAAACAGAGCCTTGGGGACAGTATCCAGGCCCAGCTGTCCTTGCATCATCCCCAGAGACACCAGTGGGAGCAGCATCCTTTCCTAGCCTAAAGCTCTATCTAGCACAGTGTGAGATTTCATGCAGGCTGCAGCCCCTGACATCGTCCACCACCTGTTGCATAGCATCTGTCAGCCTTCTCTCTGGTGCTAGTGAGGGAGGCAGACCCCAAGTCTCCTCAGTCAGCTGCCTGCTGAGAAGCCAAAGGCGCCAGAGAAGACAGCACTCCCATGAGTCAGGGAAGAGGGAGAGCTGGGTTTCGAGGTTTCCAAGAATGCAAGCCCTTATTATGTGTGCACTGGCTGCAATGCATTCTGGGATCTACTGTCCAGACTGCCCCGCTGTAACCAAAATGTGCAAATTACTAAAAGGGAGAGAGAGGTTAAAAAATAAGTGTGTGTGTGTGTGTGTGTGTGTGTGTGTGTGTGTGTGTGTGTGAGAGAGAGAGAGAGAGAAGTCAGGCTTTTTGGTCGGTTAGTAGCCACTGAGGTACGCAATTCTTTTCTGCAGTTGCTGCTGCCGACACCGGAGTTGCCTTTTCTCTGTAGCCATCTTCTTTTCAGCCCCCACCAGAGCTTGCAAGTACTCTAAGGCCTTGCTTAGGATCACGACTTTGGGGGCCTTAGAGCAGCTGGCCAGGGTGGGCACCTGGTCCCGCAGGGCCAGGAACCGTGAACGGAGGTCATTCCTCCTTTTCCGTTCCAAGAAGTTATGGTTCTTCCTCTTGGTCACGTCCTCAGTATCAGAACTGACAGGTCTGGGGTGGCAGGACTGGGGAGCCTCACTTTCTACAAGTGGGGGGCTCACAATCTCTTCTTCCTCCTCTTCCTCCTCCTCCTCCTCTTTCTCCTTGGGAGCTTCTATCTCTGGAACCTCTTCCTGGGGACCCCTCTCGGGAGCCCCCTCCTGAGAGCAACTTTCTGGGGGAAAGCGGGCAGCATAGTTATGCTGTTGTTGGTGGATGGAGATGTGGAAGTGTTTCATGCAGGGGTCCAGGGGGTCTGCTCGCACTGTGATGGTAACTGGCTTGCGGATGTCCAGAGATCGTCTCTTCTCCACCGTCACCACATCGATTTCTTCGCCTTCTGCCCAAGAAGAGATAGGAAGAGAAGAAACATACCCCATGAGGAACACATATGCACACACCCTACAGTCCTACTTCTCATGTCTCAGCCTGTGAGAGTAGGTGATTTAGATATCACGAGAGACCGCCAATTCACTTATACTGGGGAAATGGCAGAGTGAAGGGGAAATAAACAAGGAAAATAGTCTCCAGTTTCCTTCTGTACAACAAGGCTTGGATAAGAACAAAAGGCAGACCCAAGCCAATAGCCCCCAGTCTGCACAGGCTCCCTCCTCCCCCCTCTGAGGGGAGGGAAAGAGCTCCTGGCCTGGGACAAAGTTTAGCTATAGAGATCTTCCCCATTCGGGCTCTTTCATGCCCCATCAGAATTGTAAATGAGGGGTCTGTGGGCAGAGTTGCCCTTTGTTCCTGCCCAGCACAGCCTGCGCTTGGGAATTGTTACTTTTCACAAGTTATAAATCCTATTATTCCCCCACCTCTCTATTCTGCCGCCCTTTCAGCTGAAGATGCAGAGGAGGGTTACAACCGGTTCTCTTCAGCCACAGAGGGGAGGGGAAGGGCTTCCCTCAGGAGCATTTTGTCCCGGGGTTCAATGGGTTTCTGAAGCCATCCATCATTTATAGGTCATTTGCCCCACCCCCACCTCTGGACCAGAAGAGGGTTAGATTTATAATCACAGGTCACAAGAGCCTCAGGAACTTCACAAAGGTACAAAAAAAAAAAAAAAATCCCGACCATTTCCCAACGAGCTGCACCAGGGGCAGAGACGGAACAGCAGAGTGACCCAGATAACAGGGTCAGCATGCCAGGGACTCAAGAGACACCAAGAAGTATCTGCACTGTTCCCCAGCTGGAAGGTCTGTGAGATGAACCCAACCTGGCCGGGCAATTAGGGGAAGACTTCCTGCTCCTCACATTTTGTAGTCCTCAACACAGAAGGCCACCTTTAAAGCATTCTGGCCGACAACAGAAGAGCACCGTTCTCTACCTCTTTTGCATATCAGGAGGCCTGAGCCCCTTTGTCAGGAAGGTTTCCATTGTGTGGACAATCGCATTATTTCTCCATTAATAAAACCTGACCATTCAGCCCCCTGGCCTCAAAGCCTGTGATTGGCTGGATAAGCAGTGTTTGGAATGCTGTTTTCCCCAGCCCCTAACCACTATTGGCTGAACTTTGCCGTCAGTCACGCTCCCACCCCACCCCCTCATTGTTTGCAATCTGTTGCATTTTGTTCTAGGCCATGTGGCCAGAGAGTGAACCAGGGAGCCCACAGTTTCAGGTTAAAGGGTAGGTCAGAAAATGATTCAAGTTTGTGTACATCCCAAAGCTTTAATTTTCAATGTTAAATCTCACCACACAGAAGGCTGCCTCTAAGGAAGGTATCATTTAAGACACCATTCTCCTCTGCAGAAAGCAGTATCAGATTCTACAAGATAAGGGATGTCCTCAAGCTGGTCAACCAAGTTCTCCCCGCCTCATTTTCAAAAGAAACGGAGGCCCACATCAGACTCACTCCCTGTCACTTTTATACTGGTCTGGACCGCAAATAAAGAACTCCAAACTTCAAAAATGATGATCTTTCTACTGTAACCATCCTCCCCCCCCCAGTAAAGGTGAATCTTCATTAGTTTCTTGATTTCAAGATTCCCATTTGAGCAGTTAGACAAACACAAGCACTTGTTGCAGTTTAAAAATGACTTTAACACAATGCATCGAAGAAAAGGTGACTTTTAATTTTGTTCTTCTGACTTCCCCCATAAAGGTACAACACCTTCCATAGCCAGTTCCCCAGTTCCCTCTCAAATACCCACATAAGTTATTCTTTATTGCTGCAGTGACTTTTCACTCTTAGTGAATGTGTCCAAAGCCTCTGTCTGCACATGCAATAGCACCCTCTCCAGTATTTCTCATGAGTAGGGGCTAAGAGGCTGGGTGGTCTGACCTCAGTGAAGCCTGCCCTTCATCAGGATGGAGTCAGGCCTGGAGCACTATGACCATTACCTCAACACCAGCTCTTCTCCCAGAGATGGGACAAAGTAGGAACCACTGAACATTTGTTGAACTTAGACAAACAGCTGAAGCCCACAGATGTATTGGGAGGCAGCTTGGATACTAGCTAAATCGAAAGCAACAGGCATGGTGGAGCTTTTCTCAAATAAGCTTCGAGGAAGACCCTCTAAGTATCAGGGAAGACTGGGGTAGAGGGTGGGGAAAAGAGGCTGGCTAGACAGCAGGAGTCTGGGGCTCGCCCGCCTTCATTTCCTGCCTCTGAGCCTTGGTTTTCCCATCTGTTTGGAGGAGGGTTTATTCTTCCCCACCGGTCTCACAGGTCACTGGTGGTGAGGGTGCATAAGTGGTAAACAGAGGAACCGGAACAAGATTAGAGAATTAGCAACTTAAACGTAAAGCAGGCAGGAGATGGAGGTTTTTGAGAGGATGAAGGTTTTGGTTCTGCACAAAAGGTTCCTCAGTCTTTTCTCCCTTAGGGAAGTGTGAGTTTCCCAGGGAAAGAGGCAGCAACAAAAAAGCTTCAAGCTTGGAGTGACTCTTAAGGGAACCCTTTCAACCTCCCAAGGACAGAAATCCCCTACAGTCCAACCCCAGTATTGTCCTCTCGAAGCGCCAACCCTCACCATGTCGCCCCTGTCCCCTGGGGCTCCAATCACCATCAGAGGGACGCTGGCTCCCTCCCCACTTCTCCAAACTGTTTACCAACACACCCACGTGCCAGACAGACACAGCTGGGGGCTACACCGACAGCTCCAGTCAGAAAATGGGGAGGTGATGGGAAGGTTTAAGACCCAACGCTTGACCTCAGACAGCTGTAGAGCTCTGGCCACCCATGGGGTGCCTCCCTCTTAGCTAGCCCAGGGTGGTCCTTACCGGAGTCGCTGGGGCTCTCGGACCCGGAGCAGGCCTGAGTCTTGGGCTCGCCCAACTGACACGGGGTGGCGGGCGCCGGGTTACTGGCTTCCAGACTGGGAGTGCAATCCGGGGTGGCGGGCGCTTTGGGCGGGTTCCCCCGGGGCGCGCCTGGAGCAAGTCGGTCGCTCACTACTCTCTCCAGTCGTTCCCGGGCGGAGAAGCCACTCCACATGCAGTCACGGCGGATGATGGAAGCATAATTCCTGCCCCAAGCTTTTGAATGGCCCCGAGATTCCACCTCGTCCCCAGCACCCCCTCCGGGCCATGGCTCCCCCGGACTAATCCCAGAGGCTGGGTCCCCGGCGCCGGGACCAGAGCCCCAGGGCGGCGACGTGGGGGGCGACGGCACCAGCTCGAATTTCTTCCAGATGTCCTCGCTGGGCGCCGTGGAGCGGTAGAAATCCTCTCCGCAGTCATAGTCGTAGAAATAGTGCTGGTACGAGTCGAAGTCCATGTCCGCTCCCTGCGGGAGGGAAGGGGAGACGTTGATGACTGTGGTACCGGCCGAGGGAAGAGGCAGCTCCAAGCCCCTCGCCGCAGCCGGCTGCGGGGCTCTGGTCCCTCCCCAGGCCCACCGGCTTGCAGCCTGGACCCTCGCCCCTGATCCAGGGAAGCCTGGCCTCGAGTCTGCACGCTCAGGGCAGCTCGCAGAGGGCCGACCAAGCTGCAGGGAGCGAGTTCAAAGCAAACTTTGCCAGCGCCGCCCGGAGCGCAGCTCCCGGGGCACAGCAGGGCCGGGCGGGGGCGCGCTGTCTCGAAGGCAGTCTGCAGTCTTGCAGCCCGCTCGTCCCTCGGGGACCCGCGCCCGGGCCACCCGCAGCCTCACCTCGCTCCCGCCGCCCGCCACCTGGAGCGGAGCGGCTCCCCGCCGGCTCGGGGAAGCCCGGCAGCCCGCACACACACACATGCGCGCTACTGAGCGCGCGGCCCCGCACTCACGAACGCGCCCCTCGCGCGCGCTCCCCCCCGCCTCGCTCGCACACGGCAGCCAGGACGCTCCCGGGATCGACGCGGGAGCGCGATCTGCAGGCGCATTGTTTCCCGACTGCTTTATATCTCGTCTCGTGCCCGGGGCTTGGGGACCAGGAGGGGGGGTGGTCCCTAGGAGACAAGCCCCTCCCCCTCCCGCCCCTCTCTCTGCTGGCGACAGGTGGGGCCGGCCCCACCTCCTGGCTGTACTGGTCGTTTTTTTTCTATTTCTTGAAGCCCCCCCTAATAAATTGCACGCTGGGGAGCGCAGAGCAGAAGAGCTGATGCAGCCAGCCCTGCAGTCTCCCGGTGGAGGCGTGACTCTTCAGAGAGGCTGCTGCGGTTCCGGCGACCTAACTAAAGCCGCTCTCTCCGCCTACCCAGAACCAGGGACTAGAGCTGCTCCCCGCCCCACCCTGCTAGCCTACTTCCCAGGGCGCACCCCAAAGGGTTCAGGTGCGTCCCACCCCTGACAGAGGTGGGGTAGGGGTGGGGGAAGGACACACTACACCTCCACCGCGCCACCTGGCGGCCCTCGGCACTGAACCCGAACTTCAACCCATCCGTTAGCCCATTTCTTAGCTCGGTGACTCAAACCTGAATAGCAAGGGAAGAGGAGTCCAGGTTATGAAGCATGCAGCACATAACCTCTCTGAGCCTCGGTTTCACATGTGAGATGAAGGGATGATCATAACTTCATAGGGTCACCTGGGAGAATTTGCTTACTAAAAAAAGCATCTTAGGAAGGGATATGCGAGAATGCGAACAGCACCGGTTTAGCCATGGGGAGGGTAGTGAGACGCCCCCTCCAGGTCACAGGTGGTGCTTGACCCTTCCTTCAGTGCCCTGACTCCCAATAGTAATCCTCTACACAAAACTCTCCTAAGAGCTGCTCTAGAGATTAGGGTCTATTCATTCTGTTCCCTGTTTTGCACTTCTTAGCCGTGGTACCAAGGTATTTGAAGCTTTGCTTGGAATTCCTGACCAAGATGATGGCTATATAATTCCTTTGTGTTATCATACACAGGTTACCTTCGGAGAAAGGAAGAAACTAACTGTACAGCCTGAGATTTAGGTCCAAGGAACTTAGGATAGCAGCCAATACATCTAGAGTCTTCCACCTGGCGTCAAGGTCTGGCGTCTGGTCCTCTGCCATCTTTCTCTTCCTCCCACCCCTTTTGTCTTACTAGTCCAAACTCCACGCTGTTGCCATCCTCACAGACTGAAGCCAGAAAGAAGTACAAACACTGTTTTGCGGCAGGGGACAGGAGGTGTGAGATGACCCGTGAGCTGGGTGATGTGTGTGACTCTGTTTTCCATTTGTTGTGTCTAAGGTGTGTGTGGGACATCCTTGAAAGCAGTAATTGGCTCTTAGTTGCTTTGTAATCCCTGTACCTAGAATGACTCCTGGCAATATTTACGCACTGACTTCCGAGTGACCTAGCCAACCAGACTTTATTGAGACTGTGAATCCTGTTCTGGGCTGTACCAAGAGGCCCAGAAAAGGCTCCAAGTTTGATTGCAAACCTGGTGCAGAGGGATTATACTGCCTTTTGGTGTCTCATTCTCACGCTTGCTGTTGTCTGAGGTGGCTGTAATATTGGCCAGGGGCTTTAGTTACAATGGCAGAAACCAACATAAGCAGGACAAAAACTTTGTAGGGAGAATTTGTTGCATAGTATTCATAGGAGGCTGAGAATCTATGTTTGGAAAATGGGTCTACTTGGTTATTCATTTTGTTCTTTCTTTCCTTTTCTTTTTTCATTTTTTGAAACAGAATCTCATTCTGTTGACCAGGCTGGCCTAGAACTGACTATATAGGGCTAGGTATGGTGACATATGCTATAATGCCAACACAAACTTTTAATGCTGTAACACAAGGATGTGCCAATTCCCTTGCTGAGACAATCTAGACTGTTGCCTGCTTAAAGATTTTAATGTAATGAGGGCCCAGTGGCACACACGTGTAATCCTAGCTACTCGGGAAGCTAACCACAGGAGGATCACTTGTGCGTTGGGCAACATATTGAAACCCTGTCTCAAAAATAAAATGATTTTTCTTCAGGGGTAGGAATTGAACCTATGGCCTGATATAGGCCAGGAAAAGACTCTACCCCTGAGCCATATTCCCAGACCAAAATGATTACTATAGCTAAGAAAATATTGATGCTAGTTAAAGAGGCCTGAGCACCAGGGAAAGCCAGAGACCAAGGAGAGTTGCCACGGTAATCACCAACATAATCCATCAAGATTGTTTCTGGCTACAAAAATGCTGGTCCAGAGGCCAGGGAGATGGAGGCATCATGCTTTGAAGCCACCCAGTTCATCCCCGACCTCACTTAGGCTTTGGCTCACCCAGCAATTCTCTGAAAGCCGTTCTGCTCCCATGTAAATCCGCCCACTGGGAGAGAATGCACTCAGCAACAAACAGAGAACTCCAGTCTGTTCCAAAGCCCCACTTCCCCTTATAAATTAATGAATTGGCATCTGATTTGAAATATCAGTCTCATGAGTCTGGTTAATGAGTGTCTGTTCTGAGGAGACGCTGCTGCTTTCAGGACTATCAACTATGGTTTCTGAGTTAATGTCTGCACCCAGAATGGTGATACATTCACCAAGGTAACAAATGCTACCCTAGAGACATCCAAATTATCTGCAATTTTGCTGTTGCTGTTGTTCTAATTCATTAAAAAATATACATACACATGTATACACACACACAAATGGGGGGAGGATGTGGAGGTCAGGAGACAACTTGTGGGGGAGTCAGTACTCTCTTTCCACCATGTGGGTTCCAGGGATTAAACTCTGGTCATTGGGTTTGGCAGTAGGCGTCTTTACCCACTGAGCCATCTCACCAGCCCTGATGTTTTGTTTTGACTTCTTTGAGACACAGTCTCATCTAGCACAGGTTGTCCTTTGAACTCACTATGTAATAAAGACTGTCTTGAACTCCTGATCCCCTTGCCTCTACCTCTCATGTGCTGGCATGGTCTGCATCTTTAAAAATGTTATTTATCTAGGTGGGATTTTTGTTTGTTTTGTTTTTGAAACAGGATCTTATTTAATCCAAGCTGGCCTGGGACTCATGTCAATCCTCTGTCTCAACCTCCCAAGTACTGGAATTATCTATCATTTACTGAGACAGGGTCTCACTCTGTAGCCCAGGCTGGCTTTGAACTCATGGCAATCCTAAGGAAAGTATATAGCTATATAGTCAAAATAGTATGGATATTGACTATTTGTTTACTTAAAAACTGAAGGTTGGTTAGGTAACTCAGAGTGTAAAAGCATTAGCCTTCAAGTCTGAGGACCTGAGGACTATATTTAGTTTAATTTAATTTAATTTTATTATTGCCTGTATAGTTGGGGGTATTTGTGTGAGTGTTGGCATGATTGCTCCTACTTCTGAGTGTGCAGGTCAAAGGACAACTTTTGGGAATCAGTTTACTTCTTCTCCTGGGTATCACATTCAGGTGGTCAGGTTTGAATGGAGTATTGTTAACTACTGAATTATCTTGGCTCACTTGGATCAGCATTCTGTGTGTGTGTGTGTGTGTGTGTGTGTGTGTGTGTGTGTTACCAACCCAACTTTATCATTTATTTTTAAACATTTCTTCAGCACTGAATTGCTTCATTTTTCTTTTGTTTCTATGTACCTATTAGGTATTGAAACACTTGCTTTCCATTCACAACAGCTACAAACATTATTTCATTTGGTTCAACATACCAGGTTATCAATCTGTCAGTTACGTTTCTCTTTTCTTGGAATCACTGTCTGGGAACCATTTGTCTTCCTATTGGAATCTGAACTTAGTGGTTTCTCAGCCAGCTTTACCACTCTCAGGCTAGAACTTCCCTTCTCTTGGATCCTGGAAATCCCCGCTGCTTCTCTCCTGTGTTGATGGCCTGTCACCTAGGGCCCATTTCTTCCTCTTTCTTGATATACTTCCTCACTCTGGTGAAGCATGTCCTCTAACGTCTGCCTGAGAAAGTGTACTTGAAAAGAAAAGATTCTGAGACGCAGCCTTTCTGAAATGGTGCTTATCATACCCTCAGTTTTGGTGCATAGTTTGGCTTGGTATAAAATTTTAGACTTCTCCCTGAGAGTTGTGCAGGTGCTGCTTTCTGGTTTCCTGGCAACCAGTGGTGTACTGAGAAGACCGACATCATTTGTTCTACAAGCCTTTGTATGTCACCTGTTTCTGAACACTTTGAGATTGTACTCTGTCTCTGGCATTCTGAGTTCAACAATGCTCTTGTGTGAGTCTATTGTAATGAAGAATTTGACTAGACTTTGTCCTTGAGAGGCAGGAGGTGAGTCTTGAATTCCCCAAGTATCAGAAGTGTCTTCATTTTTCACAGTGGCCCCAATAGCTTGTTCTAATAAGGTGATTGGTGGTAGATCCTTATGTAAAGAGAAGACTTTTCCTTGCCAGCAGCTTTGGTTTATCCCCCACCAGTCTCTTGGGCTCTGCTGCATTGTAGTCCTCAAATAACACATAAGACGCTGTATTAATTATGAAACTGTTGGCCTTGCTTGTTTCTTACTGGCTAGCTCTGACTTAAGTATTTACCCCATAATTGTTAATCTAAGTATGTCTCTTACCGGAGAAGTTTCCGGGCTTCCTACCCCCATGGCGTTGCATACTGACTTTCTGTGTTTCTCCTACCCAGAGTCCTCCTGGATTCCTAGTCCCATCTATCTTGGTTCCCTATTGGCCAACAGTGCTTTATTGACATATACACAGGACTTCCCCCATCACCCTTATATAGTTTAAGATGACTCATGTTGGAGAGACCAACCATGTGATTAAAAATTGGTGTTTTGAGCCATATGGTATCAGTCTGATCTCTGGAGGAGGTGATATAGAGCTAGAATTGAGTTCAATCATTTGGATAATAATTGCAGTGATCATGTTCACCACATCATGGATGTCACCCTATAGTTTATAAACACTGAAGTTCAGGATTTTTGTAAAGTTATTATTTTTTTAATCATTATAGTTTTTATTTCCCAAATGTTTTTCTTTATTTCCTAAATGTTCCCCCTTCTCCTCTTCTCTCCCCACTTCCTCTTTCTATTT